AGCGTAGTGGGTGCTGCGGCTGTCATAGGCCTGCTTGGCTTCCTTCTATGGTTCTGGAGAAAACGATGGCTCAGGAAGCGTCGGAGCACGCTTCTCACGCCTTTGTCGACGGATCCCAGCTTCAGGACTGGCGAAAAGTTTGTTATCGACCGTGGATCCCTGGGACCGACGCCGCGTACAGCCAGACTAAAAGCTGCCCTTGGCTACAATTTCAATCGGTTCCGTGGTCAAGTGGGAGGCCTGGTGTCACGCAATCGTGATAGTAGCTCTACCGGCGGCCGCTCACAGTTCATGAACATCTCTCAACACAGCCGGAACAGCTCGTCCATGTCGAATCATGGAGGTCCCCGCGACGTTGTCACAACTAAGGACCGGATGAAGGACTGGTGGGAACGATTAAGAGCGGACATGAAGTTCAACTGGCGCCTCCGAGGCGACAAGAATGCTGAGAAGGATCCGTTCGCCGCGTCCCGCGACATGAAGGAGCGTAAGGCTGCCACGGGCGGACAGCCTGACTTCTTAACATTGTTGGGGATGGATGAGAGAGAAGTCGAACGAGAGGCCCAGCGCAGGCGGCTCAGCCGAGGCAAGGGTAGCGCTGGGTCGGGCGATCACTTCCTTGGTGGTTTGGGGCTTAACTTCGACAATGCCTCGGCCAACCCCTTTTCCGATATCAACGCGCTACCACACGACTCTGCGAAGCCCGCGCCTCTAGCCGTGGCGAATCCGTCTTCGAATAACCCCTTTTCGGATTCCAATGCCATCTCGGCACCAGCGGCGGCTGTCAAGCCACCAACGACTTATGTAGCAGACGTCCGACGATCCAGGGGTACGTCGGTTGGCGGCAACACGACGCGGCCACCAAGTGGTTCCACGTTCTCTCCCCGGCTGGACTCAATGTACCGAGATTCAATGCAGAGCGTCGAGAGCTTTTCAACAAGACGCAACAAGTTCCGTTCTGACCCTTTCGATTTGGAGCGGCCTGAGTTGCTTGGCAACCGCTCAACGCCAGCTAGCAGTAACTACAGCCAGGCTGGCGGTGGGCCGCCGCGTGTACCTGGGTCAGCGCACACTCGATCCGACAGCTTCAGCTCCAAGTACAGCAGCGGGGTGAGCATGGACGGGTGGAGCGATCCGGGTCCAGACGTCGGACCTTCGGGCGGGCCCGCGGCATATCGGTACGAAGCCGAGAGCCCCGTGGCCGGCTACCGGCCGGGAGAGCAGCGCAAACCGGGACGCAGGCCGAGCCAGACCAGCCAAGGAAGTCAACAAAGCGTGGGCAAGGCTCTGTAGAAGCTTCCACAAAACATTTCACTGAGATATATGTCATATACCATCATGAAACACAATTCATGTACAAAGAATGAAGGAGCTGGTTGAAGGGAGAAAACGGTTTTTGTTATGCGATACGCAATGGTGGAACGGGGCGACGACTCAGGTGCAATGAGGTCATCTTGGTCGTTCGCTGCGTTCCTGATGAAAGGATAGATGTGAAGATACCGAAAAAGGATGGATCCAGGTTCGGGTCCGGCATGGTGTTTTGGTGTTACAATGAGGCGGACACATACGTTCAGTTATGCTGTGCCTGTTGCTCTCTTTTCCTTGTTACGATCACTCAGTCTTGATGAGAGAAGCTGCCTCTCGCCTGCCCCTGGAAACCCCTCATAGGCGGCGCAGATTGAGGCAGCGAACCTGTTAAAGGTAATAGTTATGTCAGAGCAATTTCACAAAAGGGTGAAACCAAGTCGACACTAATTAGTTACTAGTTGTTCTTGATGCGCTGTGATATGCGTTGTGCGTGAATGAGCCGGGTTACAACATAATGGGCCGCTGCAAAGGCTGTGACTTGTGCGTTACCGGAGACGAGACCGGGCTCCCGGACGCCCGGCCGGGGGTGGCCGGGGACATTTGGAACGAGGATGGAGTTGAATTGATAATAGATAAGCAATTATGGTCTCATGACTGACAGCTGGCAGCCAGTGCTGGGTTGACCGAGCTCTGGCATACGCTTATCCCAAGCAGGCAAGTCTCTGTCAAGTAGGTAGGCGATAGGTCACCGGGCAAGATACCTGAACGAAGTACCCCTGAGGCGCTTGGCTGGCACGTTGGTTACCCCTCATAGCTGTACGGGTCGTAGTAGGTAAACAGGATGCATGCAGTAGCCACCAACGACGTCAGGTCTCCCCCGCCCCCCCCCCCCCCCCCCCCCCCCTACTGGCCACTGATCCCGCATCATCCCACTGCACACGCTCCAATACAACCTAGGTAGACGACAGCAGTCATACAGCTGCCATGGTTGAAACATCAAAAGGAACGTTACCATCTACAACGACGGCAGTGCGATAGTAGCTATCCCTTGCCGTATCCCAAACGAGCAAGGTGATCGCGGGCCAAGGCAAAGAGGCCCTTCGAACCCACGTCCCCCGCTGGCGCGTCTACGTCCTCGTTGAAGGACCACCCGACTGCTGCAGAGCAACTCGCAACAAGACGGCGAGCGGGACCCGATCCGAACTCACCGCCGTTGGCCAAAAAGCCATAGTCGCGCCGCCGACAAACCCGTTTACCTTAATCTTCTCTGGCCTGGCCTGGCCTGGCTTTTTATCATACATGTCGTTAGGCAGCCTGCCAGCCAACCCTTCTTGCTTTCTTGTCTTGCTTACCCCATTCAACTACTGTCGTTTTCGTCTGGTCGTTGGACCTACCACCAAGTTACCTGACGTAGGCAGCTTTTCCGTACATCTCGCGCGTCCGTCAATGAATGTCCTCCACCAAATCTCTGCTACCGACGCCATCTCAATCAAACCGAACCTTCTCCATCTCTCCCGCCCATAAACCTGCACCTCCCACAGACCCTCGCCAACGCTCAACGCACACGATGGCTTACCAAAGCCCCCCGGAAACACCCTCCTCATCCGGAGCACACACACCTACACACTCGTCCGCCAACCCCTCCTTGTCCAATTCCATGATATCGACAATGTGGTCCGGTCTCGTTCGTCGGTTTTCCTCTGATATCCCCGAATCGTACGGTCCCCACAGCCATCACCATGAGTCCTCCCACCTAGCTCACGCGTACACCGAGCCCACGGCCCACGGCGCCTTCAAGGACGGCATCAACGGGGTGTTTGTGCCCGCCAACATCAAACGTACCGCGAGCCCCTTCCGCCCTCCACCGCTGGATCCCATCGTCCTTTACGGCTTCAAGGAAAGCACGCCACTCAGCGCGCGATTGCTTAGTACTGGCGTCGCCGAGGAAATCCGCATAATGCTGCCAGAACGACTACGAATCATGGAGGACTGGAAGCTGGTATACAGCCTGGAGCAAGACGGGGCTAGTCTGACAACCTTGTACCAAAAGGCAGCTTTGTATCAAGGGCTGCGTGTTGGCTTCGTCTTGGTTATTAGAGACGATGCTGGTGGCGTGAGTTGATTGCTCCAACGCGGGCCGTGAACCTGCAAACGATTTCACCTGCTAACAGCTTACCAGACCTTCGGCGCCTACCTCTCCGAATACCCTCACCCCGCACCCAAATACTTTGGAAATGGGGAATGTTTCCTGTGGCGCGCCTCCACCCTCACACCCTTGCCACCACCGCCCTCTGCCGACACAACCAACCTCACGCGTTCAACAACTGTGGCTAGCCCAACCCGCTCAGCATTCAACGATGACGACCGCGCCCAACCGTCCCCGGCACCCAGCGACTCGATTCGCTTCAAAGCCTTCCCCTACTCGGGCGTGAACGACTACTACATCAACTGCGAGACAGGCTTCCTGAGCGTTGGCGCTGGCGACGGGCACTACGGTCTGTGGCTTGATGACAGCCTTGACCGCGGCCACAGCGGCCGTAGCCACACGTTTGGTAACGAGCCGCTCAGCGACGAGGGCGAGAAGTTTGGTGTCTTGGGTGTCGAGCTTTGGGTGTTGGGGGCTTGAGGGGGTTCGACAAAACAACAACAGGGGAAATAAAGGAAAGGGGGGAGGAGAAAGAGAGAAAGAAAGAAACAACAAGGGCGGGGGACCTCGTCCATCCACGAGAATGAGAGAAACGACCAGGCGCGGCGGAAACAGCACGCCGAGAAAAGAGAACCCGCGAAAGACTGATTACGGAGCATCTTGCGGCTTTAGGTAGACACGGCGAAACGGAGCGTATGGTGTTGTTCTTATGCGTAGTAGCTGGAGAGCAAGGTCCTACTGAGGCAAAGCAGAGCGCCGCAAGCATGACACGTCTGCTGCGAACCCCCCTAAATTGGATACTGGCCTGAATGTAGGATGGGGGTGCAAGTTGAAGAGTGTGAAGAAGTGGGAGGCGCGAACAGGCTGTGCTTTTTGCCCGCGCATGGGGAAGCAGACGATACCTCGGCCCTCAAGAGATTGGGCTACCTAGAAGGAACATACAAAGAACGTGGGCAATGGGTGCCGCCGGTGGACAGATATTCTTAGCCTTATCGGTCACTACGAAGTTTATATATATATAAACAATGATACCCTCGAATTACATCAACTGAATGCATTGGTGTGCCGTTCTTTGCGAATCGCCTTATACAAGTACCCGCCATCTTGAGCAAAGCAATCCTTTTCCAACTGCCTGCAGGCATCAGGTAGTGCCAGTGCCGTTGGTTGTTCCACTAGCCTGCGGATATCGAATGTATACGACGTCGCCGTTGTTCTTCGCACACGAGAAGTGGAGGTGGACCCTGAAGTGGCGAAAAGAAGAAAAAAAGGGAAAGAATTAGACGAGAGATATTTGCTTATCCATCAATGAACGATCTAGCTTGCTCCAGCCGGATCTGCCTCGCCTCGCATATGTCCCTCTGTATTTCCTAACCTCGAAGACCCTTGCGGCCTAATTGTCCTCATCTCACTTTGCCTGTCTATAAAGTCATCTGTGCCCTTTTCGTTCGTCTTCTCGTGCCTTGCTCTGTATCCATCTCTCACAGCGCCCTGGCAACGCCACCAACAAGTCCCGACGACAGCCCTTTCGTCCATCTTATGCTCTTGTTCACCGCATAATCTCCTGGTAAATCAACTGCTTGAGCTGCTCCTTGCTTAGGTTGTCCTTGTGCTTGTCAAAATCAAAGAACTCCTCCGGAATGGGAGGCGCGGTAGGCTCATCGTCGGGATCATGGTACGGCTCAAGGTAGGGGTGCTTCAGAGCGTCCTCGACCGTGATGCGCTTAACAGGGTTGAATGCGAGGAGCTTTTCGAGAAGATCGAGAGCCAGGTCGGACGTCTTGGGGAACAAAGTCCGGAAGGGAACCTTTTTCTTGAAGGGAAGAGAGCGAATGTACTCTCTGGCGCGGCGGGACTTGATTCCGTAGTAATCCTCCATGGTTGGAGTTCCCAGTACATCCAGGATGAGTGTCAATTGGTGGTGGTCTGGTTTCCATTAGTATCATTGGCATGCGATCCTTAACAATTCGCAGATGGGGGAAGGAGGCTTACAGTCCTTGCCGGGGAACAGGGGCTTTCCGCTAAGCATTTCCGCCAAGATGCAGCCGACCGACCACACATCAATAGCTTTCGTGTACTCCTTGAACGTCAGCATAATCTCTGGCGCGCGGTACCATCGCGTCGCCACGTATTCCGTCATGAAGCCTGAGTTATCCTCCTGCGACGCCGCGGAACGTGCCAGACCAAAGTCACAGACTTTCAGGTCGCAGTTGGCGTTGAGGAGCAGGTTGGAGGGCTTCAAATCACGGTGCAAAACGTTGGCCGAGTGCATGGCCTTCAGGGCACGCAGAGTCTGGTAGATAAAGTATTGGCAATGGTCGTCGGATAGGTCCTGAGTTCGGATTACGCGGTGCATGTCCGTCTCCATGAGTTCCTGAATTGCGATGGTGTGTCAGTAATTTCACAATGAAGCTTTTCAATTGCCTCGGAGTATCTTACTTGGATTAGATAGACCTCGTTGAAGGTCTCGTAGCTTCGGGGTTTCTGAATGTCGAGAATGGAGATGATGTTTTCATGGTTGAAGTATCTCAAGAGTTTCATCTCACGCAGGGTACGGAGACAGAACATGGAGTGGTCGAACGGCGTGATCTTCTTAATGGCCACCTTTTGGCCGGATGGTTTGTGTATCGCGGAGCTAAGGCAATCATGGTCAGTTCAGCAACTCTCTCGAGGATTTGGTAAGGGCCTTTGACGTACCAGACGACTCCGTAGGCACCCTCGCCGACGACATCCTGGATGTCATACTGTTCGCTCACGTTGAACGAAATCTTTCGGGATCCCGAAGCGTTGGGGGGATTCGCGCGCGACATGGTCGCTGGCATAGGACGATGTTATCGAGCTGGAAGGTGTTGTCGAGCAGGTAGTTATCGACGGATTGGTAGCACGAAGGCGGGTCCTGGCGAGGGAGATACTACTTCGGGCGGAGCACGAGAAAAAAAAAGGGGGAAAGGGCAGGATGAGAATTAAGCCGTCCTAATAAGGTGGGCGCGAAGAACCACAATTGCCTTGGTCGGTGGTTCGGTAACGAGCCAGGAGCTATTTGGTATCGTCGTCTGCGGGGGTATAATTATTGGCGGGAACGCTGTTTGTGACTTGTCGGAAGAATGGGTGGGATCGACGGGTGTCAAAAACGATGGCGTCGGAGACACAAAGTTTCGCAAGCCGGGCGACTTTGGTTTCTTGGTGGAGGAAAGAAAACCCAGGTCGGTTCAGTCAATGAACAGACGCGGGCAAGTCGGCTTGGATATTTTTCGAGAGAGGGGGGAGGTGACAAAGGAAGACGCAGCGCAGCGGACGGGAGGGTGGAAGGAGACGAATGTCGTCGGAGGTTCGAAAGTGGGCGAGGGCCGTGTTTCTTGGGTCCGCTCGGGCCTTGGGGTGCTGGTCCACAGGCCGGGTAGGCAGCGTCTCGGGTTTTGGTTGTCAAGCACGCAGCGGAAGAAGTTTTCTGCCCTGGTCGGTGCCGCTTGCTGAGTAGACGGCAAGCGAGAGGAAGAGAAAAGAGGAACAATTGTCGATGGCTCGATAAAGGGGATTGAGGGTGGTGATTATTCAGATTCCGGTGTCAAAGAGGAGAATATGCCGCGGCAGTGGACTGTGTGCGAAGATATGGTGTTAGCTGGAAGGAGCTCCGACGGGTTAAGCGACAGAAGGGGCAGGTATCCCGGTATGCGCAAGGTTGAGTGAGAAGTGAGGGTCCAAAGCAGCTGGGTAGGACGGGATAGGGTCAGGTTAGGCAAGGTAAGGTACGGTTTGGCAAGCAAGCCACAGCCAGGCTAGGCGCTCCGTCGCTGTCCCCCAAGCCAAAACTGAGTTGCGGAGCCAAAAAGCACACACTAGGCCATGGCATCCGTCTTCTTCGCTTCTTCTCGAAAACTGTCGCACCAAGAAGGTTTGTAGTGGCAGACAGGACGCAGGAGGGACAGGCTTCCAGAAGATGGCAGGAGCAAAGCGCAAGCCAAACAGCGAAGACAAGGAGAAGGATACCTTACTGAGTGGTGACTGTGGCCGTGAACGGTGCAGCAGTAACACGAGCACGAGCGACAGCGACGGCAACAGCAGGTGAGGGGAGCGAATGTGGGTCGTGAGACAACGAAACGACGAGGCCAGGTTAGAGGAACGGGAACGGGCGATGAACCGAGCACCCCCTGCGACAGGACTTCAGACGAGGGATGTAAGGTGCGCAAAAGGACGAGAAGCACGCGGGGCCAAGAGACTGGCTACTGAGCACGAGGGCGGACGACTCCAGGACCAGGGCGCAAGGACGAAGGAGGTCTGGTCCAACAGGCAACCGCTTGGATGCGTCTTTGAAAAGCTCTCCAGGGCGACCTGGGACGGCGACCTGGGACGGCGACCTGGGACGGCGACGTGCCTGTGTGGTCGTCACGGCGCCAGGAGGGGTTTATAGAGCGAAAGCGAAGAGGCGTAAGGCAGAGGAGAGGCGCCGTGAGAATGGAGAAGCGGGATGAAGAAAAGGAAGGAGTTTGATGGGCGAAAAGTTTTGGATGCAGTTGGGGTTGAGGCTTCGGGATGGGAACGCAAACTCCTCAGGGAATGAGAGAGAGAAGAGCTCGAGTACGTACCGAAAGCCTTTTGACACGGGGAATAAGGTAGGGTGATCAAGTAGGTTCGGTAGGCAGCTCAAGGCCAGCAAGTCTGAAGTTGAGGTGGCTGAAGTCTTTGGGTGAACATTTCAGTCAGTCTAGGTATGAGGTAAGGTATGTAATGAAGTGCATCCAGGTCGACAATTTCGGGAGGAAACAGGTGAATTGAAAGCAGATGCATGTGCAGGTGCAGGTGCAGAGACGGGCCCAGACGCAGACCCGGGCCCAGCAGGTAGACAGAGACAGACAGTCTCATCAGTCAGACGGCTGAGGCTGGTAACAAGGAGAATCGTCACGCCAAGCGCAAGTCCACGATGAGTAACTTACCCCGCCAAAAGCTGAGATTTCTTGTTCTCTAATGTATCTCTCTCTCTCTCTCTCTCTCTCTCTCTCTCTCTCTCTCTCTCTCTCTCTCGCTCGCTCGCTCTCTACTTATGCCGTAGACAACAAAGGTGTTGGAAGAACAGCTTACTTGCTGGCAGGTGGGCAGTGTGTGGTTTTGCTCGGCCTGATGTTGCTCGTCTGGTCTTCTGCTGGTGTGTCGCAGCAGGTGCAGAGGTGAGGTAATAAGTGGAAGAGGAGAGGGAGGAGAAGAGGACGGGCTGGTGTCGTAGACAGGAATCTGGCGAGACCTAGGACTAGGTCTGGGTCTGGGATTGGGACCGGGACTGGGACTGGACTGGGACTGAGAAGACGTGAGCGGAGGAGGGCAGGAGGGGGTGAGGTGAGGGAGGGAGGGGGAGGGGAGGTGGAGGGGCCAGATACTTTGACCACATGTACACGTGGTTGCGGGTGCTGTGCCATCCACCCCGAGCACCGCTACTTACGAGTCGTGTACCTTAGCGGTAAGGTCGCAGCAGGGGAAAGCTACGGTGCCGCAACCGCCTCCTCTCAGTCTGGGCCCGTAGACAGGCACCACACTACTACCTACCTACTACGCAGTACGAGGTAGGCACGGTAGCAGCCCGTACATAGGCCATGGATATTCGTACCTAGGCGACACCTCCATCTGCCTGCGCTCAAGAGCGCAGTCAAGGTCCAGGAACCTTTGTTTGGAAACGTACTTGCTTCAACCCCAAGCAGGGACCACTCACTGCACTTTCAAGGGCCATTCACACTTCCCGTCACCAGCACAACCTACATACCTACCTTGACCTTTTCACATCTTCGAACTCACCCCAGGTGCGTGCTGCAAGGCGAGCGATCCGGTTGGTATGTCACAAACACTTATCCGCTTATTAGGTCTATCACAAACACCGCCTACATAGCTACGTTCTGCAAGGTACGATGATGAACTGCATCTCTCAAAGTGCCCGTGTCCAGCCATTTTCAGATGCACACCCCATGCCGGGCAGCCCCAGGGGCGGACGAAGCCAATTGCACTGTGTGCAGCCTACCAAGTAACAAGTCCGAAAGGGCATGGCATCATGGCGACTTTCAGGGACCTGCAAATACGAGAATGTGATACCTGGTCCGGCGTTTGAGGCCACGAACGCCTCCTTTCACAGCCTCGCAGTAAAACAATCTGGGGACGGAAACACATCTCATCCAATCCCATCTAGCACACAAGAATTGACATGTTGCGGTACAAATCAATCTGTCCACTTGATTGAGCCTTGTTTTCTCCCAGGAAATGCTCCTTAATACCAAGATTATGGGAGTCATTTGTACTTATCGTCTCGACTTCGCCAGTCTCACCCGCCCGGTCCAATTGGCCTGTCAAATGTGCCCGAGCCAATACCTGTATTTGGCCATCGCTGCTACCTGTACCCGCGACCCCCCTCCCCCGCCGATGCGTTGAGTCCAGACCGACGATGGAAACCTCAGATAGATGGGCTACGCTGTCATTAGGCACCTCCCGACTTGCTCTCGAACTCGGATGCCTTATCCATATTGCAGCGTGTTGAGAGCTCCCAGCAAGTCACATCATGGGACGGTTCACAGTGGACTACATTCGACATCAGCTACGACATGTTCCGCTCCATGTATTCCCTATTTCAAGGTCCGTACATGATCCTCTACAGACTATGCTGTGCTCACATAGGCTGTTGGGTAGAATAGTTATGTTCTTTGACCACTACCACTTCTGCGATACCGTGAATACGTTTGTTGCATATCCCCACTGCTGTCCACTCTAGAGTTGCAGGCCCCCCCCCCCCCCCCCCTTCCTCCCTTCCTTTCCCTGATATAGCAACTTTCGTCACTTTGGAGTAGCTGCAGGACGGTTATCTCTGCAGTACTGGGCCTGAGAATGTGGCCGGCACGAGCTGATGACGGCCAGGCCATGTGATGAAATACCATGCCTAGAAAGCCAAAGGATACCATCCAAGCCCATATCGCAGACAGCATTGGCCAGCACGCTGCAGACCCAACACACAAGGGCGCAGACGGCGCCTAGCACTGCCTGCTATTGGCCAGTGAGGCGTCTCCTCCCACTCCGGCGCGTGTGTTTCAGCTCTCACTGGTGCCAGTTTCACCACCCGCAACCCACAATCCACAACATCCAAACCATGGATCCATCCATATTGACCACTTCAAACCAAGTCAATACGACACGGGGTTCATTTCGAACTGCATAGTGTGTACAATGCCTGCGGCGACATTACACATGGAAACTGCCATGCTTGTGCGGACTGCAACCATTCACTAGCTCAACAAGCTTGCTTGTTATGCGGGGCACGCAAATCACAAGCGTATCAGTCTTCCGAGCCGACTTCCTCAATCTGAGGTAAACCAACTGAGCTCGCAGACCAACTTTCCTTCTCTATATCCACACTTTCTCCTTCGCCGTGTCACATGCGGAGCTAGAAGAAACGAATACACAAGCTTTAAGCGCGATGCATCGCTTTCTCAGGGGGATCTCATTGAGAGTGCTGACAACGTTTGCGAACAAATTTAATCGTATTGATATTCTCTCAAGGGATAGTAGAGAGATTGCTCTTAAATGACAACCTGACACCATCGCGTACCCCCCCCGTGCACCATTTCTAGTGCTTTTTCGTTTTTTCGTCAAGTGACGACCTATTCAAATCATTAGCTTTTTAGACTTTGTATCGGGAGCTGCCGATGCTGCTTGCCTTTTCTCTAAGAATTCCGAGCCATTGCGCCGCACTCATGCCCTGGTCTGCTCTATCCTCCACCAACAGTGTCTGCGCCCAGAGCTTGAGGCTAGGTTCGCCATCTTCGCGCACAACATAAAGATGAGG